GTATATATGTTTATTTGATTTGGGGAAAGGAAGGAAAATAACAAAATGTTGAGACAAAGGGTAAAGGGCGAAACAATGCAATGGCAATACTCACAAGACAGTATGTTGGAAATGAACTTTACAGGTTGGGCGGGGGAAGTGGGAGAAAATGATGGAAGTGGCAACAATAATCAACAAGGAATATACTCATTACCTTACTTAGGTAACTATAACCCCTCTGTACATCCCCCTTACAATAAAAGAAAAAAAATAGGGTCTTAGGAAGAGGATATTTACATGGTCTCAAAATGTCTCCTGATGGATTGTTTACTAGAAAACAAATAAAATAAAAAACCAAGAGGTATAACATAGAAAATCAGACATCTTGACTGAATCATCAAAACTAACATTACCAATAGTTATAACTCCAGATGCTATATAACTTCAGACAAATATTTCTAACTCTAGATACCTATGCAGTATCTGTCTAGAAACACTTAACCACAATACAATCATGAAAAACATATCAAACAACCTCAAATTGGAGTGTTTCTTTGGCTTATCTATAAAAATTCTACATATCACCTTCATGACCCTGCTTACCACAAAAAGTACTGAAACTAGAATGTGCATGTATTCATACAAGCATATAAACTTCAGTAATCAAATGTATCTCTCTAAAAGTAATATGTTTTAAGGAAAAGTAATATGTTTTAAGGCATTATCAAATAGGAAAGATTTCCACTTAATATTTACATTTATTTTTAATGCTAATTATAAGAAGTTTTATGGAGTATAGTGTGATGAGAGGGAAAAGAAAACTTGGTAAATTTAAAGTATGTAGGAATTATTCAGTAGGGAAGAAAAATGTGCCCCTCAGTTTAGATTCAATGTGACTAGACCACTGCAGTCACTAACATAAGCAGACTTATTCTCAGGTCATCAAGCTAACTACTGTGAGAAACCTATTTTCTTCTATTTAGTTAGGTGTGGTATTCGCAGGATGATAAAACATTGCAATTATAAATCATTTCCCCAGTCTTTGGAAATCATGAATGTAAAAGGCTTCCTGATCAGTGGATTTCTACTTGTCTACTCACTTTGCCTTAACCCCAACTGAAGTAACACTTTGTACTCAAGAAGTGGGAGCATTGATGAAGAGTAAATAATTATAGGCAAAGAAGCTACTGAATTGTAAAATAGTCTAAAATGAAAAGCTTTTGGTTTAACTTGTGTTTTCACAATCTTGTGTCTAATACTGCTGTTGCTTCCCTATAAAAATGTATGGTAACATACTACTCATTTTCTCTTATTTAAAACTCTTGATCTTATAGTTTATACTTATATCAAGCAGTTTTGAAAAGTTAATTATAAAATAGCTTCATGGTATTAAATATGCTATGAAGTTTTGAGGAACTCACAGAGACTTATATGGAACTCCTTAGGATAAAAAAAAACAAAGGTAAGAAGAAAGCTCTTTATGGACAATGAATAATAATTTCCTTATAGTTTGAGAAAAAGTTATATCTCTGTGGAAAGTAATTATGTTATGAAATAATAGCTAATTATGATTCTCTGCGCCACAGATGGTTTCTCACTGCCACTTGAGCCTACATCAAGTCTGTCCCCTGTGGCAACAAGGAGAAAACGGGGGGGGGGGGGGGGGGGGGGAGGCGGGGGGGGGGGGAGAGAGTGAAGTACAAGAATGTTGAGATTAATCATGAAAAGTACATTGTTAGCACAGAAACAATAACTACATGGAGTGTGTGTGTGTGTGTGTGTGTGTGTGTGTGTGTGTGTGTGTGTGTATGTGTGATGTAGATTTGAAAAAAAATTAAAGCTGAAATATAAAACAAGACAGAAAAAGAGATAAAATAAGAAAGCTCTTTCAAGGATCAGAATTTTTCATCATCTCAGGGATAGACCTTCAAAAATGTAAAAGGAAGTTGCTAGTAGGAGCAGAAAAGGATAGGCATCAGAAATTTAGAATACTCAGTATAAATTCATGGTGCTTTACTTCAATGGTTTCAACACAAGCAAATTCCTTACTGCACTGATTTTTGCTTTCTTCTTACCTTTGATCAAAGGTGTTTTCTGTAGTAGAAAAGCCATGGTGTCGATTCACACGACAAAAATGATTGAGGGGTTTTTTTTCTTTGTTTTTTTTTGTTGTTGTTGTTGTTGTTGGTTGTAGGGCTTGAACTCTGGACCTGGGCGCTGTCCCTCAGCTCTTCAGCTCAAGGTGAGTGCTCTACTACTTGAGCCACAGCACCACTTTCAATTTTCTGAGGATTTTTTGTTTGTTTGTTTGTTTTCCAACCTTCTTCTTGATGAACTTTTTGGTCTTAGCAATATAAATTGCTGAAGTCATTAGGATATAACTTGATCCTGATATAGTCTGGGAACCTTTTAAATATGACAATAAAATAGAATATCTACAGAGGATGGTGATGAACAAGGCTTCCCAAGACCTAATCAATAGGGAATGAGAGGAACTGAATTTTATCCTGAGAACATTCAGATTTTTTTTCCTATCACAGACAAATAGAGTATTACTCTTTATATGAGCTCCAGGATCAGCAATCAGCAATCTTTACTCCCTAATAAAAAACATAGTTCCATATTTTTAGTTAGAAATGTTACTTAAGGTTTTTCTCTCCTTAATAGGAAATGCATACAGTTCTACACTTTGCTATCCATTGGTTTTGACATCATAGAAAGGAAAGCCATAAATCTACAAATGAAGATTCCCCTAGGAAGCCTTTATGAGAAATGAGTGGACATGACATTGATAGTTACCAGCTTTCTGGAATAATGGCTCCATTTGAATGGTACATTACAAATTTTCAGTATTAGTCCCCTGCATTTAATATTGAATGTTCTAATTTTCTCCAGTTGGAGCGCCTGATATGTTACATAATTTAAATGATTTTCCCCATTCTTACTTAAATATTTCCAAAATGTGCAGGATTTTTGAAGGATTATTACAAGATTTATTCTCAATCAACCTTTCTCATCATTGCACCATTATAGAGATGACAAGCTACTAGTGAAATTCTGAGTAATTATTTCCTATGCTATCTGGCATTTACCTTCTCAAGAGTATGCTCATTATATTTAATTTCCTATTCATGACTGCATATTAGTTTCAGAAAGCATTCCTTTCACTAAAAAAACTACCTTTGCAACTGTTTCTGTTGTTTTAAATGAGATAACTTAGCATCTTTTATTATTAAATCATTTTACCTTAATGGACAAAACAAAAAAACACTTTTTCCTATAATTTATAATAATAGCATTACATTAATAAAGTGATAGGCTTCATGAAGTTGGTAATGAATTCAAATATTTATTTAGTAAAAAGAACAAAAGTCCAATATTTATTTGTTAAGCAATGAGATGGTTGAAATGGCCTGATAGGAACTTTGACAGTGACTAGAGTTTGAGGTGAATGTTAAAGAATAGACCCTTTGTAGTCTTGCTGTTTTCTGAGCCCTTCCCTTTCCCATCCTGGCTGCAGAAAAACAGGGCTATAGCCTGGTTTCTACAATACCTGCTTTGATGTAAATTCAGAGAACAAGAGAGCGAGAATGAATACAGGTTAAGTGTTTTATATGTAGTTTGATGAAAAGATTTTATAGTCATAATAATAACCTCCTTCAAGGCAAGCTAATAAGAAGTTTGACAAGCAATCTTCTTCATTTTAAATATGCTATCCTCTTCTTAAAATACAAGAATTAAAAATAAAGACTAAAAATATTCGTAATTTAAATGGTCTCCTGAATTCTCAAACAAGATCTACTGATACAAATGAAATCCGAGCTCTGGTACTATAACATCTTAGGTTATATTTAAATGTTAAACATTTTGAAGCCTTCAATTCCATCCCATGTTCTTTATTAAATTACAGTTTGTGTTGACAAATTTGTCTGAAAAACTTCATTTTTCACTTGTTTCACCCCAAACTTGTAAGAAAACTGCAAGTTGGAATTTATATGCAAGAGAGGGTAAGCTGTGCTTCACAGAAAAAAAATGGTATGTTCAAAGTATATATTTTATACATATCGAGGAGAGGAACTCAAAAGGCACTAACATAAAATAATGAAAAAGGGACAGAAATGTAAATCAGTATATACTATATACATGTACTGAGATAGCACACTGTAGGCCATAAATATATATGATTCATGTGTTAATTAAAATATTTGATTTGACCAATGTATCAGTTAATCACACTTGTAATCCTAGCTACTCAAAAGGTTTAGATCTGAGGATCACAGTTCAGATGCAGCCCAACCAGGAAAGTCTATGAAACTTAGCTCTAATTAATCAGCAGAAAGCCAAAACTGGAGGTTTGGCTCAATTGGTAGAGCATCAGCTCTGAGTAAAAAAGTCAAGTGAGAGAGCTTGAGGCCCTGAGTTAAAGCCTCAGTACCAGCCAAGAAGAAAAAGAAAAATATTACAAATTACATAAAGAAGTAGAGATGTTTACAATCCCAGTTTGACAATTAACAATAGGTATATGTATCAAATTATCAGAAGTTACCCCATAAATTTGTATACCTAAAGTAATAATAAAACAGAAAGTAAGTAGAGATAAACAGCAATCATCCGTTATTTAAGCTCTACAAGCATTTCTAGAACTAGCCTTTGTCCTAACGTTGATTTAAGGGGAGAAGCTCATTAATTTCTTCTAAAGTAAACATGAATAAATATATACAATGGTTTTGCTTCCTAAAGCTTGAAAGAAAAACACAGGACAGAAGAACTATTTTATGCTACATAATGACCCAAATGACAATGTACGAGAACATTTTCAGTATCTTAAATTTTACACCAAGCATGATAGGTAGAAATTATTAATTAGCAATAGATACCATTTTCTTAAGAAATTACCTTTTCAACTGATATATATATACCTATATAACACTCTCATCACTGAAATCTGCATTGATGACATAAATACAACACATTTTATTTCATATCAGATGAAAACCAAAAACATGCACTCAAAAGCTTACCGAGGTGTACAAGTATCCCTCACTATTCATTGCCAAATACAGCTTGCTTTGAACTCCTTGAATAGCCACCACTCGAAGACCCACAGGGATGAGGTTAAACAGAGCTGAAATATGAAAATAATGTTAAATTCTAAATTTCATACCCTTCCAATGTTTTCAGAAGAACTATTTCTCCAAAAGTAATGTATGCGTGGTAACTACAGACAAATTATACATCCATCCATATATATATATATATTTTTTTATACACACACACATACATATTCAGAAATACACAGATCGAGGCTCATTCAGTAAACTTGACATGATTACAGTCACTTAACTAGGCCTGTAACTACAAATTTTTTTTTTCGGTTGTGGGGCATGAACTCTGGGCCTGGGCACTGTCCCTGAGCTCTTCAGCTCAAGGCTAGCGCTCTACCACTTGGGCCACAGCGCCACTTCCGGCTTTTTCTACTTATGTGGTGCTGAGGAATCGAACCCAGGGCCTCATGCATGCAAGGCAAGCACTCTACCACTGAGCCACCTTCCTAGCTTGTAACTACAAATTCTTAAACACATAGAGAAAAATGGAAGATTTTTATTCCAGTGCTATAGTTTTGTGGGTTTTTTTTAAATAATGCTGTAGAAGAGGAATCAATTTGAGGGAAATCCTATACAAGGAACTAGTTTGTATGCTACATATTTCCTACTCTGTAAATGAAGGTTTTAATGTCTTCCCTTGGACAGGTGCTGAAACTTTACAGGCACAAATAAGATCTATTGGTTGGGTACTGAATCCTGGGCTTTTAGAAGGGATTCTAATCCAACACCGTCATCTAAATTATTAGTATCATTTCCAATGCAAATACCCAAAGTAAATCCAGGTCTTGAAGAAAATGTCATTTTTTGTTAGTACTATCTGTCTAAAGTAGTACTTTTTTTAAAAAAATGACTTTTTCCAAGATAGGGTTCAGAGGGTTCCTAGCATTTCATCCTCAAGAGCAAAGGTCACAGGACTGAAAAATCAGGAATTTGACAAAAGCATATTCTATTATTTTTGTTTCCTACAAAACAGTTGCAAGTGGGCAGCTGATGGGTGCCAATGAGGCCTTCATTTCTCCATGTGAAGGTCTGACTTCGTGAAACTTACACGCAGGCTTCTCCGCACAACCACACACCACTCACTGGAGACAACCAGTGGGTGGCCTCCCACTACCAGCTGTCTACTCCCTCCCACATCGGGAATAAAAATAAAACAGCACATTTTTAAAACGTAATGCTTGCCACACACATTTTTTGAAAATAGCCTGTGCACCTTTCCCTCAAGAGACATAGACCAATGCTGATGATTTTTGTCTGGTTTTATAAGTTTACCAAGGGTTGAGGCTATTTCTATAAAGAATGTAAGGGGACCAATGCATAGGTATAAGGAGTTTATCTGTGATCACTCATACCTGTCCAGTATGGCTGCAAAAGGATAATTAAGAACTAAATATATCTTGGTGAACCCACAAATTTTCTTTTCCTTAAAATCACATTGATACCAGAGAGAAACTGTACATACTGTACAGTTCAAAACATAAGGGTTCCTACCACATGTCACTGATGGTGCTTCATGCACTAATCATCATACTAAAAGCTGTATTTTTCTGTTTCTGTCAGGTAAAGGAAAGTAACTGAGCAGATTACAACTCTGGATTTCATTAAGCTATATCTGAAAAAATGCAATGCTCTGGCAAGAAGTTGACTATCTCTTGAGCACATTATGTATATGTCCTATTTCTTTCTATGATGACTCTTTGCTCATAGCGTGCACACAATACATATTGTGGACTGAATGCAAAGTATATGATAAAAATGACCATATATTTAGGAAAAATAATATATCATAATACCATGATGTAAAATTGCCCATCAAAAGAAAAAAAATGTGACATAACACAAACTTCCATATGAGTTTGGAAGCCATACCACTAAATGACACTTGTCAACTGTAAAACGAACATTAGGCCTGAAACCTTATAGGAATACATGATGAAGAATCATAAATGAGATTTAGAATTCTTTCTAAAACTTCATTTTTACTGCTTTGAACCTTCTTAGTGATCTTAATAAAGCTTGTAATAGCAGAGTTAGGAAAGGAGAGGAAGGGAGAGAGGTAGAAAAATAGAGAAGAAGGGAGGGAGGAAAGAAAAATGGTCAAACTGATGGGGGGGGAGGGAGGAAGAGACAAATAGAGATTTGATTTTTACTTTGTTCTCCAGCCACTCACTAATTTGAGTATCAGTGAGCAATAAAATGTTTAAAATTTCTAAAATGGACAACTGAAAAAGGGAGAAAAGCCAAGAGTACCACAATCCATTCAAAACTGAAAGTGGAGCTGTGGCTCAAGTAGTAGAGTGCCAACCTTGAGCAGAAAAGCTAATGGGAAGGTGGCTCAGTGGTAGAGTGCTTGCCTTGCAAGCACCACATAAGCAAAAAGAAAAAAGCCGGAAGTGGCACTGTGGCTCAAGTGGTAGAGCACTAGCCTTGAGCTGAAGAGCGGAGGAATAGCGCCCAGGCCCAGAGTTCAGGCCTCATGACCAACGGAAAAAAAAAAAAGGTAATGAACAGTGCCCAGACCCTGAGTTCAAGCACCAACAGTGGCACAATAAATACACACATATCCTAAATTACTATGAACCTGGATTCAAAAACACAAAAACAAAATAAAACCTTGAAGAAAGAGAAAAATGTGAAGTAGCTGATCATATGTACTTGATCAATATTTTCTTAAGATATTCAAAATGTATCACAAGTGGGCTGGCTTCAAATGTACCTAAAGGAGCATTATTTACAGACAAAAATGCAAAGAAATTTTACCCAAATTTAGCTATGACAGAATCACTAACTTGGTTTCACTGAATCTAGGCAATTTTTCCTGGACTTAAATTTTACTTAGGATGAAAATAATCTCAATACATGAAAAAATATAATTACTTACATTTGTGCATCTAAACATTCATTAAATACCTAAAATCTCATATTTTAGCCTACATTTATGCAACATTTATAATCAATAGAAGATCCCTTATGTCTTGTTTTGGTGTTTTCTACTTGTAAAGGACCATTTTTCTTAGAGCTATGTTTTTATTTGAACTCAGTGTTTGCTGACGATTATTCTCAAGCCATGCTCATGACTTGAAGCTAAGGTCAGTTTCTCACAAAGATTAAGAAAACTAATTTTTAATGTACACTAGAGAAACTTGATATTCAGAACTCATAAATATTACTGTAGGTTTGAATAGAAACAAACTATCCTTCCAAAATAGCTTTCATTGCATCCAAGGCAAATAAAATAAAACTAGAGCCATACAATGTTTATCTTCTTTCCATTTTCAAGGAAAACAATACATAATTTATCATGGCTGATTTGCTCATGATGGAATTTCATCGTACTGACATTTACCATTGAAATAAACCTACATAAAGGTAAGCTTAAATGCAAAATAACAGTCCACACTTTTAGGAATGGATATGTCTGTGCAAATGTGAAATGATTTGCTATCAATAATCTTATTCACATTATTGAACAAAACATTATATTAATGAGAAAGATGATACAAAGAAAAATTCAGGACAAAATATCGTATCAGGAATACATGTTAAGGGACTCGTATGTAAATGAATAATTGAATAAAAAACCTTTATTCTGGTTCTACTCATTTAACTAACTACAAAAATTATGTCAAAGAAAATTGCCTGGCTCCAGGGGGGGAAATAAGAATAAATTTTGATGGATAAACTTCTTTTTTTGACACATTAAATTAATTATTAATGGCTGGCCTCAGCCACAATATCCTCAATGGGAAAGCAAAGCTTCTGATCATTCTTGCATGAGGATTTGAGTTAAGTCCTACTACCTTGCTATTTGAGTTACTATTTTCCATTTGTATGCAGCATATTAGGGAAATACTTACCTTTGGTTGACTTACCTGTCTTTGTTTTAATCTGCCTAATCACAGATTCTCATTATCAGCTTTTAGAGATCTAATAATATCATTAGTACACTGAAAAGATCTTCATATCAGACACATAAGGCAACAAGAGGAAGAAGAAGCTCTGCATATGTAGGCATGGGAGAGTAAAACCTACTACATGAATTACATTCATACTAGAGCTGGCCACTGGTGGCTCATATCTATAATCCTAGCCAGTCAGGAAGCTGATATCTGAGGATCACAGCCTAGGAGGAAAGTATGTGAGACTCATTATCTCCAGTCAACCAATGAAGAGCCAGAAATCAGCTGTGGCTCCAGTGGTAGAGCACTAGTTTTGATATGTATCTCCTAAAATGTTTCCACACAATGCGATCTCATTGAGTTTTGCATATCACTGCTATTACTAACAACATAATGAATCATCCACATTTTTTTTGCCTTTTCAGGAAACACATATGAATAGTGGACACAAAATAGTTCTCCTGTTTAGACCCGAAAAAGATATTCACATAGATGGGGCTGGGGACTGGTGGTTCACACCTGTAATCCTAGCTACTCAGGAGACTGAGATCTGAGGATGGCAGTTTGAAGCCAGCCAAGGCAAGAAAGTCCATGAGATTCTTATCTCCAATAAACTAATCGGGAAAAGCCAGAAGTGGTGCTGTTGCTCAAGGGGTCAAGCACTAGCCCTGAAGAGGCTCAGGGACAGTGCTCAGGCCCAGAGTTCAAGCCCCAGGACTGGCAAAATATAGACAGGGAAAGACTGACTAGGTGGATTTCACTTAGATCTAATCATGACCTTCCTTATAATAATGACTAATATTTTCTTCAGGTATTTCCTTCCCTAAAACCCCAATTAGTGCATATAATTTGGGGGACTGTGCTATGACTACTCATCATGCACTCATATCTGTTATTTGATTCCAGTAAGGTGCTCTACTTACACTTGAGTAACTGTTTTAAACAGAAGAGCATGCATGGAAAAACAGCTAGGCTTCATTATAAAAATTTAATGTGACAATAGTAACACAACATTTTGAAAACCAGTGAAAAACCATTTCCTATACAGCTTCTTTATCCTAAGAATCAAGAAAATCTTCCTAAGAGGTAATGAAGCATGACTTTCTCTTGAGGTCACAGCCTGGCCATCATCCTAAGAAACATTCCTAGAATGTGTGAAATTATTTGTTAATATTGGGACCCTTGTCCCAATAGCTTAGCCGTATAGTTCTGAGCCAGTTGCAAGGTCCTTATTAATCCCCCAGACCTACTTTTCTTGCCTTTTTTTTTTAGAAAAAAAAAAGCTGACAAATAGATTTCAGAGAATTATCGAAGTCTGAGGGAAAGTAATACATAGCAGAAACCAGGGAATGAATTGTGAGAACGAACAATTTTAGCCACAAGGTCTGCAGATATCTGGGAATTGAAAAAACAAAAAACCTAGTAATTATTATCATTGAAGAGGAGGTTGCACTATTTGTGTTTGTTTTTATTTCTCCAAATAAGTGAAACATACACAGTCAGAGGTTATATAATGTCTCAGAATTATCTTTTTTCAATAACTTAGAGATAAACATTGTGCTATTTTTTTTTTATGAATTTCCTGTTTCGATTCATCATTGTGGTCTCCAGTTTGACCTTTACTTATACCATAGTTAAAAATGAATCACTAGATCCAGGTGCCGGTGGCTCGTGCCTATAATCCTAGCTACTCAGGAGGCTGAGATCTGAGAATCACGGTTCAAAGCCAGCCCAGGTAAGAAAGTCCGTGAGACTCTTATCTCCAATAAACCACTAGAAAACCAGAAGTGCCACTGTGGCTCAAGTGGTACAGTGCTCCCCTCTGGCTGAAGAGTACAGGGACAGCGCCTAAGCCCAGAGTTCAAGCCCCACGACCGACAAAAAAAAAAAAATCACTAAAAGAAACCCATTTACCCACCAAGTTGTCTCAGAGAAATATCTGTGTGTGTGTGTGTGTGTGTGTGTGTGTGTGTGTGTGTGTGTGTGTGTTTGTGTGTAGGGGACAGTAGGAATGAAAGCTTGTAATGATGAATTCTCATGGCATGAAAGCACTCCTGCCTCCTGCCTCTTAGGATGAGAGTGGTTCTTAAGAGTAGAGATAACATGCTATTTCAGGATCAGTGTGTGGGTGAATACATTTTCTGTGGGAAAAAAGTAAGGAAATCCAAAGGACAGTCATAAATCTATCTAGATTACCATGGGGATGACCCTTGGCTCATTCTTCAGATGGTGACAACATTATTTGCTGTAGTTTACTATTTTAGATATTTTTCTGTCTAGTGTCTTGTAGGTAAACTCATATAAACAGGATTATATGGCATAACCATATTTTCTACTTGCTTATGGGATTGTTGACGGTTGCTTGCTTGACACAGAAATAAGAAGCACACAAAGCACCAACATACTGTCATATAACATTTATTTAGCAGTCACTTACTGTAAGTGCTGTCCTCGTCTTTGGTGCCATCAATGGTTCCATCTGCCTGCAGCTGCAAGTGGTAGCCTTGTCGGCTGTATAGTTTGGTAACTATACCCTTAAGTTGAGGCTCTGTTGAAAAAAAAATAATATCTTGGATCAATTGATAAATTGTGCATATATACCCCCAAAAGACTCAGTATTCAAAATTCTTTCAACTATAGATATTAATGGGAAAAGTGAAGTCTGAATGAAGTCTCTTTTGAAGAACCTTTAAGAAGCAGAAGAAAAACATACAACCAATTATAAGTTTTAGAATAAATGTCCAAACAACTGAAGAAACACTTGATTCATACCTCGCAACATTGGTAAAGCCCTAGAGCTTCTGACAGCATCCAATGTTTCTGACAGCTTGTCCTTTGGCTTACAGAGTGGCACTCTACCTCATTGAACATTCTGAATGACTTGGCAAATGCATTTTCTTCCCTTTTTAACAATGTAACACTTTTCCGTGGAAGGAAAAGAGGGCATATAGAAATGGTTTTGAGTTGTTTGCCAACCAGGGGCCAAAACCCCACTAGCTTTTGCTACTGGAAAGGAAATAAAGGAACTAAAGAAATCTTTATTTCTTTAGTTCCTTCAGAATTAGCACACTTTGAATATATAATCTCTTCCATTCTAAGAAGGGTAAATATGCATAGCTAACCTGGAATCCTATCAAAGGACCTAAGGTTTCCATACAAAATTAGGAGGAGGGAAAGATAAAACAATCATCACTGTCTCTTATATTAATTATGCTAAAGGAAAATGAATGTGAAGCATGGAGGGTTTTTTGTTGATGGGGAGGAAAGAAAATCAGTTCACATTTTCGAATTTAATATCATAAATACGATTACCAAAACGATGGGTTCTTCATTAAAATGATTTTCAATTATGAATCACCATGATTAATCAAGCACCTCATTTACCAATAACAGTCAAGTTATCCAAAATTCGCTTTCACTGAATACAGACACCTGTGCTGAAATGACATGATTATTCGAGCCACACACCCGTGGTTCATTTAAAGCCGTTTTAAAACAAGCTTAATTCACAGCTAATGCGTTACAAAGTTTGTGCAAACAAGAAAGATATGTCTGCATTTCTATGGGAAGGGGTGGAACACGAAACAACAGATAAAGTAAGTTTGGTGTGCTGTAATATCTAGTAAACGGTGAAATAAAGTAGTTCAGAAGATTCATTTTGGGTAAGGATGGCAAACAACAACAACAACAACAACAAACTGCCTATTTCCTTGAAGGTCCTGCTTGACGCAACCTGACAGCTATAGCGATCGGAATCTTTTTTCTAGTTCTGGGAATCTCGTGGTACTCTTGATCAGCGAAATGGCTCCAAACGACCCTCAATCTGGTGATGAGTTCAAGTTCCTTTTTAATACCAAGCAACCAGTTTTACTCGTTGAACCACGTCACCAAACTCTTTGCTGCAAGGTTCTAGCAATCGCCCCTGTTCGGTTTCCCCAACAAACACTTCAAAGCTGCACCCCAAGCCAAGGATGTTCCCCCCCCCACCCACCCAAAGCGTCGAAGTCATCAAAGAAATGCAATGCCTAGACAGCGCAAGTCCATTGTTGGGGAGGAGGAAATGGGAAAAATCAGCGGGGAAGGGTCTGAGTCGCAGAGATAAAGACATGGGGATTCCCTGGGTTTTCCTGTGGGGGGAAGGGGAGATGTGGTGTCTTCCCCGCTCCGCTAGGGTAATTTGCACGCCACACAGGATAGCATGTGTGGGTACTGCGCTCCCATAGCCTCTCGGTCACCCACCACACACGGGAGTCACACGTCTGAAAGCAAAGGTGCACGTCCAAGGCTCCCAGCCCGTCCCGGGGCAGTTGCAATGCAGCAAACCTGTTAAGGTTAGCAAGGAGGCAAGAAAGCAATCGCCTTCCTAGACACGCACGCCATCCCGGCTAGGGGGCACAAGATGGGCTACAGACAAACTCACCTACGGTTGCCCGCCCGCCCCCCTTCCCCCCCTCCCCGCACCCTCGTAAAGTATAGGAGGCAAATGCAAAAGCCCAGAACCAGGAAAAAGATTTTTTTTTTAATAAAATGCGAAAGCCTTTTCCGACCTGGTCTCCTTCTGCGTCTCTTCTTGGAGCCAAAGAGTTTCACCCGGGAAAAGACATTTAACTTGTTTTTGTCGCAGCTGGTCTTGCCTTTGCTGGGGCTGCTGACACACTTGCAGGCGTTGGATTTCTCGCGCTCGCGGGCTTGTCTCTTCTGACGGATCAGAGAGCTGGCGATTGCTGCCGCCATGGCCACGACGCCCACCACCACCACTTCTTGCGCGGCCCCTCTCTGGCTTCTCCTCCTCTTCCTTCTCCCGCTGCTGCTGCTGCTGCTCCGCGGCTCTCCGGCTGTGGCTCGTGCCTGGGGTGCCTGGGTCTCCTTAGCCTGCGCTGGCCCGAGCTGCTTCTTCGCACTCGGGGCTTCAGCCGAGGAGGGGGCTCAGCATGCCGTCCGAGCTCCTCTGGCGGTGGCTCTCGCCTTTCCGTGCGGGGCTGCTGGCTGCCTGGGTCCGAGCCGACGCCACAGCCCCCGCCCCCCTGGGCCGGGATGGCAGGCGAGACAGGCAGGCAGTGGCAGAGCTGCGGCGCGAGTGCGTGCGCTCGGCCCCTGAGCCCCGAGGACAGTGTGCAAGTCCAAGTGGCTCGGGTCGGAGTTTCGCGGCACCCCCCTCGCCTGGTGCCCGCGTGGAGGGGGCCAGAGGCGGGCGGAGGGAGAGCGTGCGGGCGGGCGGGAGAGAGGCCGGGAGCGCGGGCGGCAGGAGGGAGGAGGGAGGAGGCAGCGCGCGGGGGAGCTCCCTCACCCTGGCCCCTCCGCGTCGGCCACTAGTCCTTGTAACTTCTTGGCCTGCTAATCGGGAAAAGTTGGCCCGTGCCAGCTTTCCGCCAGGGATCAAACAGGTAATGGCCTCGCATCCTGGCTGTTGCTGCTGCTCTGGGCGCGGCACCGTCGCAGCACTGGAATTCCGTCGCTGCAGGCGCCCTCCACAAGAGCGCAACCTCCTCCCCGGCCCCCTCCCTCGCTGGCGGCCCCTCCCTCCCCGAGCCCCGCTACTGGTTCTCAGCTGCTGGCCCACCCCCCATCCGCCCCACCCCCCACCCCCACTCCCCTGCTGGTCGCACCCACTAACACCTGTACAGGCTTAAGCATTATCCCAGCACCCCCAAATCTTCTCTCATTTCCCGCCCGCCCCCCCTGCCCTGGAAGGAGCTGCGGAAGGGAACAGTGATGGAGGACGAACCAGGATGAGGTAGTCAGAGGGAAGGGGGTGGGGGGGTATGCTATGCTTTAGGGCGGAGTGCAGCATAGGTAGGGGGTGGTCCTTCAGTGTTTCCTCGTTACAGCTGGACCAAAGCCCCAGGAACTTTTCCAGATCTCTGCCCCAGTTCACCGATACTTCCTACCCCATCCCCCCACCCGCTGAGCTATTTTGCTTGACGACACTTGTAGCCATCCAGAAGAGGAGGGCAGGACTCCTAGACAGGCTCAGCACCCCACCACCCCCACCCCCCCCCCCACCCCCACCAGGAGACAGTGGCAGCAGCAGGCACTGCAGAGCTGCGCCCGCACACCACGCTGCCACCCAGTGGTTTTTACTGACTTTTCATTTTGTGCCCATGTGTAGGATCCAAAACCCGTTTCCCCCGGGAGTCCTGATGTGACCATTTGTGTTTGGGATTCGTGCAGACGACATGGGTCACCTACCACACCACTTCACTTAAGGTCTCCTTATTTTTTTTTTCCTTCTTATTTCTCTACTTCGCAGATTCAGACAACCTCCCACCCTCCACCCTCCAATTCCAGAATCTTTTGCTGCTTCTATCTAGTCACAAGTTCTTCCCTGTCCTAATGCACTAAAGAGAACCTTCCATCCACATCTGTACCTTAGAACAGACACATTTGTTTAACCATTTTACTTGATCACTTATGCCAAACAGTAAATCCCAGATAATAGAGCTGCCACAACACTCCTACACATTTTTTTTTACTAGACTCCTTCCTCTTCTTTCTGGATTTTTCTTTTTGAGCTTATCCCTAAGACTCCAGCCCTTTGTAGTGGCCTCATGAGCCCCAAGCCCAGCCTCAGCAAAATGGAAACCCATTCAGAGCTCTTTGACTAGGAGAACAGAATCACCTCAGCCTTCAATGGGAAGCCTGAGTTTACAAGAGATGCTGCTGCCAACTCCCCATCCCCTCCTCCCCAATCTGCAGGTGCAACTTGATACATCAGAAAGGGCCACTATTGTGTCTTGGCAAGGCTGAGTGAAAGCTGCAAGGACTAAGACAGATAATTACAGAATGAGAGCAACCAAGGGGAAATGCCCTGCCTACACCTTAAGGGCTTTTGAGCTTTCCCAAAAGACATGCCTTACATTCCGATGTGTTCTAGCTGGCCCTTCAATGCCTTGATAATCTAGACCGCCTCTGGTTCCTACTGTGGTCCATACCGTGGGATGGAATGGATCCTTTCTCACCTTGTGCTCAACACCCACCTGAAGATCCCTTGTTTGCTTTCTTTCCCTTCCCTTTTGAGACCCAAAATCAGAGCAGGCTTGAAAAAGCGGAAGAATGAAAAGGGCTACACTTTGGAAAGAATGAGAGCCTGGTATTGAGGCATCAGGAAGGCTTCCTCGCATTATTGTTACCTTGTATTTCAGAGGAGCTCTCACCACTTGCTCATTGTCACACTATCCCAAAGGCATTTTCAGGATACCTGTAGAATTACAGGTATGGCCACCCTGTGGTGGATAATAGAAGTAAATCAACTTCAGAGATAGATACAGAGAAATGGAGCCATTAAAGGTACAAAGTTTCAGACAGAAACATGTTGCTATTCCCTACCAACCACCCAGAGCTTTTTTCAGATAGAGAGCTTAATCTATGCCATGAACTCACTAAATCACTGGATCAAAGTTGACAATATGATAACTACACAGTTTATTTATACATGCCTTTCTTTTCAATCATTTTTTATAAAATGTATTCTATTGACATATGAAACCATAAACATTATACATATTAACCATGTACAATGTAACAGTTCTATACATGTATACACTGCATAACATTTATATCAGGTTATCTATCTATCCATATCCTTATAAATTTATTAATTCCTTATGGTGAAAATGATCACAATCCTTTTTCTTTCTTTCTTTCTTTCTTTTTTTTTTGGTCAGTCCTGGGGCTTGAACTCTGGGCTTGGGCGCTGTCCCTGTGCTCTTCAGCTCAAGGCGAGTGCTCTACTGCTTGAGCCACAGCTCCATTTCCAGTTTTCTAGTGGTTTATTGGAGATAAGAGTCTCTCTGGACTTTCCTGCCCAGGCTGGCTTTGAACCGTGATCCTCAGATCTCAGCCTCCTCTTTAGCTAGGATTACAGGCGTGAGCCACCAGCACCTGGCTCACAATCCTTTATTGATACTTTCTGAAATATCGTTGTTGTTCTTGTTAGCTACAATTACCCTCTTGTGGTCTAGAGCATCAGAGCTTCTTTCTCCTAACTGTAGCTTATACCCATTGATTAATCTCTCCTCAATTAACCAGAAAAATACAGAATATAAGGGGAGCCATTTTGTTTCTTGGCCCCTAAAAGGTACTTCTTTATATCACTAAAAGGTACTTCCTTTTATATCCCTAATAGGTACTTTTTATATTTCTCCCTATTTTGAACAGGAACATAGCTGATATGTAATTGTTGAGATTAGAGAAAGGGTATGTAACTTTCTGCTGTCTTATTACAGACTACATATACTCTCCTCTCACCTAAAATAAGTTTTATTGGCCTATGTCTAGAGAATAAATTCAATCCATAGCATAAAGTGACAAAATACCATTTTGAATTTGGATCCATTCAACTCATATTATCCAGTCAGCTTAACCCTTAATAAAGCAAATACTTTCATGCTTTTCGAAATCTCATGTCTATTTGCCAGGTGTTTAGAAACTCAGAGAAGAATGTGAATATCACTTTCAAACCCTCCAAAGGCACTTTACCAAAGTCCTTTCCATGTCAAAAAGCCATAAGGAAAGAAGATTGCAGAGCATGCTAAAGGAAAAAAATTTTTACTTTTTCTTTCTTCCCTGTTGCTTCAAACTTATAGAATGGTATTTTAATGTGAGGAGGCATAAAAATATCTTTTTGACACTTATTTTGAAAATTCTCCTTTATTCCTAACAGTTACGATGGGGAGTTTCAGGTTCACCTCCACATCAGACTTTCAATGTTCTCTATTCAACCTTGGAACTTCTGCCTTTATTAGGGTCCCCTCTCCTTTGCTCTCAGCACACTTCCTGTTCCCCTTGTTGTATGGTCCACTCAAGCTTCTGCTTGACCATGTTCAGAAAGAATTCATTCTTAGCTCCCTTCTCCAATTCCTCTCCTGGCTGGCAGGAGAGGTATGTTTTAATCCTATTTCTACCACCGACTGTGTGGCTTTTGGGTCTGTCATTCTTCCTACTGCGCGTCTCAGTTATTCCCATCTTTAAAGTAATGCTTTGATAATAGTAGTGACTTTCAAATTGTATTCTTCAGCTTTCTAAAGCACATGAGCATGTGATATGAGTTCGCTCGCCAGTGTTTCAACTATAGCACTGCTGCTTTCATCTATTCCTTATGCGGTGGTTCATTGTATGATTTGTAGCAAAAATAAACTAAGAAAAGATTCCACTACTAAAAACATTTTTGAAAGCTGCTGGATGAGATGTTTCTTAAAGTCCTTTGGCTCTGGGAGTCTATAATGATTTTGCACAGATTCCTGATCCTCCCATCTTATCTTTCTCTTCTCAAGCCTTTAATGTCTCCATTCCTTTCCTACCCTACCCCCCCCCAAAAAAATCTCACTTGAATTCGAAATAAAAATACAAAGTCCTTTCGACTCCATTCCCCATTGAGTTCGCTTGAGAACTGGGGTTTAGCTTTTTTTTTTTTTTTCAGAGTTATTTGAGTGAGTTATCAGAGCATAGAAAGAATGCTGATTGTTCTCTGTCAATCTCTTTTGGCAAGCTTTAGATGAGCTGTAAGAAGCTGAAGGGACCCACTCTCAAGAGACATTTCTAAGAGGGAGATAGAAACCCAAACAGATGTGACTGTGATGAGTAAAAACGAAAGAATTCCCACAGCCTAATCAAGAGCAGTCTCTGTACCTTTTGAGCAGGAAGGAATTGGCTGTCTTTCTGAAACTCTGTAAATGAGAGATTTCAAACATTGTTCCATCGTGAATATAAACATAAACATTGCCAATTGCCAGTTTGTGCTTTATCTCCACCAATGGCTCATCAGAACTTCTGAATGGCCAGTTACCAGGTCAAGGACTGATGATGAGCTCAAAGGCAGGGAAGGAGGGCAGGTTCAAGTGCAGCAGAGTAAAGCAAGGCTGTACAGCCTCCATTCACTGAGTAAGGCAGCAGGGGGAGTACTTAAGAGATGAAGCAGCAAGTAGCACTTTTGGTAGTCTATCGAATTATG